AATTTTGAATTAATTAATCAAAAGTAGGTCATTACACTTAAATCAAATCACGATATGGACTAGTATCTGTAAATATTAAGCCGCAAAAGTCGATTTAAATATGAATCCTGCATTTTCTGCCTGTCTCTGTTAATGAATGGCGCAGACGCGCGGTTTCATTTACTACACAAACACACTGAAGTGCGCCTGACACTTGCGGTGATTTCAGTGTCTGCCGTCTCACTAAATGAGGATGTAAACACATGAACAACATCTCCAGAACTGCTCTGAGAGTCACTTCATGAGCATTTTAGCGTTTGATTTGAGTAAAACTAGTCATATCACATACACAGAACTGTAAAAGTATTCACAGCAACCCGTCAAAATAAAAGTCCGGTTTGATTTGAAGACATTGTGCCTATAACTATTTTTCAGTAGAATGTACATAGCCTACTACTACTACTAAAATGAAACAAACATAATTTTTTTAGGAATAATCACACAAAACATTTCTTCCATGTTTTAATAGTAAATCCCCTTTTGTTTGCCAAAAAATCTTGTTTGCTTAATTTTCAATAATTAAAAGATAAATGAGACATGCTTTTTAATTAATACAATTTAATTTAACTATTAAAAAGGAGTTGAGAAAAATTAAAATGGAAAAAACGGAATTTGGAAAAAAATAAAACAAAATTTAGGAAAAAATAAAATGGATTTCATAGGGCCCCTCTGCCTTGCCGCAACCCCCAGTTTGGCAACCACTGCTTTATTCTTTTAAATTGATACATTAATCGTGTTTATTATATATTTTTTTATTAAAGGGGTCATATGATGCTATTTTAAAGATCATTATTTTGTGTATTTGGTGTAACAGAATATGTTGAGTCAAATTATTATTATTTTTTAATCACCCTAATTAGATTATGAAGAATGATTTGTTGATCTTGTTTTCCCTTTAATACATACCTTCCGCAATATATTTTTCAATTACTTTCAAAAAGTGGTAGGGACAATATCGATCCTGGCAAAAAGTGGTGGGGACATGTCCCACCCGCAAATTACGCCTATGGATATAATTCATTTTGGGTAAATCTAACGGGCAGTCTTTGGTCTCAATGTATTATTTGTTCAGATGAAAGGATAGTACAACAAAGATATCGCTTTCCTCAGCGGACATTCAAACTAATGATTTATTGTGAATGAGATTGAGCTGAATAATGAATGCTGTATTAGATGCAGGTAATCACACTCGCTCAGTCCATAATAATACTCGACTCTACATAATTAGCTTTTAATACAATAAACTTTCAATGAAGCAACTCAACGTTCCTTCATTACTAGTTCTAAAGTGATGTTTTAGTACGAATTAGTAACAGATCTTGGGCTCAGCTGTTAAACTGTACTGAGATTTGAATCCATGGCAGAAGGAAGTAGTTCCGCACTAAAGTTTTTAAAAACACTTTGTTGTTTTATTTACACACTTCTGCCATCGAACTGTTGTATAAATGCAATATCACACTCGTAGCCATGCGATATGGCTGTATATCAACACACTGTGATTATGAATGGTGCTGATATACAGCCATATTGCACTGCTACGAGTGTGATATTGCTTATATATATATATATATATATATATTATTCAAAAAATCATCCAACATATTGCAGATAAGTTAAGCCATTTAAAGTAGCAAATTGGGGAATACAACACCATTCAAAAATTTAAGGTATTTTTTATTTAAAGAAATTAATGTTTATTCATCAAGGATGCATTAAATTGATCAAAAGTGACAGTAAAGACTTTGACAGTGTAACTATTTCAAATACAGGCTGTTCTTTTGAACTTTCTATTCATTAAAGAATCCTGAAATAAGCAGTACAACTGTTTTCAACTGATAATAAAAATTATATTTAATTATAATAATTATATTTTAAATTGTAATAGTATTTCACAATACTACTGTTATTACTATATTTTTGATCAAATAAACATAAGACACTTATGTTGAACAAAAGACTTCTTTCAAAAACAAACAAAAATATACTACAAACCCCAAACTTTGGAATGGTAGTGTAAATAATCAATTTACAGTTTCAAATAACTGCCACTTAGAGAAAAGTTTCTAGATCAAGGGTAGTAGGTTTGAACCCACAAACTTTTTATTACCAAGCCCAGATCTATAACCACTAGGCTGCACCACCACATTCCCAGCGGATGGTTTTAAATATGTTTTAAATATGAATGAGGGAAAATGGCAGCAATGAACCTCATTGCCCAGGATTTCTTAGCTTGAACGAAAGTTTGGATGGCTCTAGTTCAAAATGGAAATGCATCGGGTGAATATAAATCAGTGATCCATCTTGTAAACACACACCATCTTCAAAAAAAAAAAAAAAACATTCCTCAGCACTACCTGACATCACATCCTACGGCTGTTTCTTCATCCCAGAGGCAGATGCTTTCAGATTTGAATTAAACAAAAAAAAAAGCAGAGTGATTAATGAAACTAAATTCAATAGATTTGCAATTATACAAAAACCATTAATTTTTACACTGCTGAGCTACAGAGAAGCCAGAGTCATTTTATTATACACGATAAAAAATACCTACTTGCATTGCTAAAACAAAATAAAAAAATAGAAATGACAGGAAAAAAAAAACTGTAAAAATGGACTTGCACCAAAATATAAGACCCTTTGTGTCTTATAATAAATGCAATAATATAGTCAATTAGCCCCGATTAGTTGTTGTAATAAGATACTGAATGAATACTCTGGTGATGTTTAATTGGTGTTCTGTGTACATGACCAATCCAAAACATAAAAATGGAAACAGACTGTAGACAGACCAGATTGAGCATCTATCAAACACTGAATGATTATTGAAAAAAAAAACGAAAGAAAATTTGAATTTACTGATAAGCAATACATTATTGCAGGTTTCACAGACAGACCAGATTGAGCATCTATCAAACACTGAATGATTATTGAAAAAAAAAAACGAAAGAAAATTTGAATTTACTGATAAGCAATACATTATTGCAGGTTTCAGTTTTCATATGTCGGACATGAAAGGTCAGGTGACTTTACTGCAACAGATATGTATGACAGCTGCAGGATCGTTTTTACATACAAGAATTATGAATTCAATGGAAAACATCTGGGCAAAGACAACCAAGAAGTTTAAATCAAAGAATCAACCATCAGATGAATGCATTTGAAACAGCTAGTCAAAACCGAACACAGAGATGACTGATACAATTATGTCATTATAAAGCTATATCCAGAATTTTCACTTTCTGAAAATGAGATAAACACCATCTATTCCAGTTGCCAGACAGTTAAAATCATCTGTTGCTCAACTAAAAACAGCACAACTTGTTACATTTACATGTAGCACTGCCATTCACTATCAATCTGGCAACCTGAAGTGAAACAGCCCTGCCTTTTTTAGTGTCATTGCTTAGCTTTTTTGAGAATGGTTCCCACTGCAGAGATGACTGTGGTCTTGGTGCCGCTGACTGTTGTTGTCACAGAGACGACTCCAGGGAGGGTGGCAGTGGTGGTGGTGAGGAGGGCGGGTTGTGCCAGGGTCACTGGCACTGCTGAGTCCCACTTGCTCTTCCTCTTCTGAGCATCTGCTAGGTCATCAAACTCAGACTTACTATACTATAAACAAACATTAGTAAAGTGAAGGCTGTTGCCTATGGGTGTTTTCACACTTAAAGGGGCTATATGTAGAATTCAGAAACCCTTGCTGTTAGTGACACCGGTGACGGTAAAGTGTACTGCAGCCAGCAACTTATTTGGTCAAGCTTGCACTCATGCACATGAAACATAGAAGAGACTGAACGGATTCAGTGAACCGATAGAGTCACGGATTTTCCCAGCAAACAATCCCGAGAACTTCACATAAAAATCAGTCCACAGGCTTTCATTGACAGCCTAGGAAGTTGGGGAAAGTCAACATTTTTAAAGTTTCGTTACAAACTGTTCACACATTGTCAATAAAAAAAAGGAATTAATAAATGTATATTTTGTATATATAGCCCCATTAAAGGGGTCATATGATGCTATTTTAAAGATCATTATTTTGTGTATTTGGTGTAACAGAATATGTTGACATGCTTTAATGTTCAAAAAACACATTTTTCAAATACTGTACATTATTGTAGGTCCTCTATGCCCCACCTCTCTCAAACATGTCGTTTTCAACAAAGCCCCCTCCTTTGACAAACGCAGTCTGCTCTGATTGGCCAGCTGACCCAGGGCATTGTGATTGGCCGAACACCACAAGCACGCGTCGGAAATGTAACGCCCCTTACCATAATCGCGAGTGTAACAAAGTTCGTAATTCGGGAAGAAGGAGGAAGGAGGCGGGAACCGGCGAACATTTAAAGAAAACTTTAATAAAATAAACAAACACAAAATAGCGCCACAGCCCCTCGCGGACGACTGTCGCGCACAAACAAAACCAAAACACAAAATAAAACCCAGTCCTGGTCCTCTCTCGTCTTTCACTGTTGTCACTCCTCCTTTTTTTCTTCTGGAGCTCCTCCATGGGACTCGAGACCGGTGAGTGACGCAGGGGTCGCT